AGGTTTCAGGCCAGACTTCAGTATAGAGACAGACTTAGTTGCGCTTATAGATGACCTGTGGCAGAGCCGGGATGGGGGTGGTGTGTCCTTCCTTGTGTTCCTTGGTCTCTCAGTGGCTTTCGATACCACTGACCATGGTATTCTTCTGGACACGCTCCAGGGGTTGCGAATTGGGAGCACTGTTTTTCAGTGGTTCTCCTCTTTCCTTCAGGGTCAGTTATAGTTGGTGTTGGCGAGGGCGGACAGGTTGCTCCCTAGCCCCTCCTTTGTGGGATTCCACAGAGCTTGACACTCTCTCCCCTCTTGTTCAACGTCTATATGATATCTCTAGGTAAGGGTCTGTTTTCATTAATACACTGATGATAACCAATTATATCTTTCAACCCCAGGCTAGCCAAGCAAGGCTGTCAAAGCCCTAATCCAGTGTTTCTCAACCTTGGCCACTTGAAGATGCATGGACTTCAACTCCCAAAATTCCCCAGCCAGCCAAGGTTGAGAAACACTGCCCTAACCCAATGCATGGAAGCTGTGTGGACCTGGATGGGGAGAAATTCCAACTCAATCCTTCCAAAATGGAGTGGCGGTGGTTGTTGGGACCTCCTACATCTGGAGGTCTTCCATCTTTACTCCCAGATGAGGTTGTACCTCCCCATTCAGGAATTGTGTATAATCTGGGGGTCCTCTTGCACTTACAGCTCCTGCTCAAAAAGCAGGTGGCAGCTGTGGCCAAGCGGGCCTTTGCACAGCTCCATCTGCTGTGCCAATTGTGCCCCTTCCTGGATCAGGGGGCCCTCCAGGCAGTCACTCACACCTTTGTCACCTCATGGCTCAATTACTGCAACACTCATCTACAATGAGCTGCCCTTGAAGACCAGAAACTTCAACTGATCCAGAATGCAGTGGCATGAGCAATAGTGGGCTTCATGAATGGCACTGGTTGCTAGTATGTATGCTTCTGAGTGTACTTCAAGGTGCTGGTTACCAGCTATAAAGCCCTACATGGAATACAGTCCGGTATTTGAGGGACCACCCATCTCCCGTGGTTTCTGCCTGGCCACTATGAGCTGGCAGAGTGGGCTCATTCCAGGTCCCCTTGATTAAATAGTGTAATCTTTCCGTCTTCTGGAATGAGGTCCCTGCTGAAATCCAGATGGCTCCCACCCTGACGGCATTCCAGTAAGCTTTAAAGAGCTGGCTGTTCTCCCAGGCCTTGGGGAAAGGTGGATGGAACCTCTTGTTTGACATATGTTTGACATATGTTGTATATGTTTTGGTTGGTTGTCTGGATTTTCCATCTTGTTTATTTATTTTATTGTATTTTATTTACCTTATTGTATTTCTATCTTGTTTTCTTTATGTTGTAAGCTGCCCAGAGTCAGTTTGGAGTTGGGTGGTGCCAAAAATCAAATAAATAAAAATAGGATTAGCGAATTGGGACTAGCAATATAGAACTCTTACTCAGGGCAATTATTTCTTCTCTTAAATAGGAAATACAAATAAAATTAACATTAATACTATGGAATACATTTTAATAAGTTATTGTACTACCATTAATCAAATCAACTCAGATCTTTATTACAGCCCTAAGGCTTCTTGGCCTTTTAGTTCAGATCAAGTATAGTACTATTGTTAATTCTGTCTGACACACAAGACTAAAAGTTACATGGTTTTCTCACTTCCTTCTCTTCCAGAGAGACACTTATAATATTTTGGCAAATGGGTGTGTGTGTGCGCGTGCGTATGTGTGATATCCACTATATATCTTTCTCACTAGTACTGTACATCATGTTTGTTTTTTGAATCCTCTGATACAATAGTTGTTTTAGTCAATATTATCTCAACTCTCCATGAGGGCCATGGCGGCATTAGACTTTCCAGTCTATTTAGCTATGAAGGAGGTTTCAGGAGTTAGAGAGAGAGAGAGTGCAAAGAAAAAAGAAATGGATGAATTATAGCTGTCTTTCCTAGAGAAGACTTAATGAACTTTTAAGGGCTGAAATGTCTCTTCCTGTAACTTAAAAGCCTGTTTACTCCTAGAACAGTGCATGTTGTAAATTTCATAAGATGTAACTCATCATCTTTCCTTTGACATGTTGACTGCATCCTCCTCTTTGAGACTTGAGAAAGTTTCCACTTTCCCTTTTTTTGCTCATGAGCTCTGAATGCAGCATCGACACATACAAATATAGCAAAGGTCTTCCAGAGTGCCTCATCGCTCTGGATGGGAAAACGATCACAGGGCAATTTGTTGAGTCACTTCAATCTCTAAAAGTAGCTCGGGGAACCTTTCCTCTCGGCCTGGCTCCAGCTAATTTCATTTACGGTGGTTCTGTTTGGTCATCTCCTGTGGACTTTTGCTGCATCACTGCCAGCGTGACCTTGGCATGATGGAGTTGGGCATTCATCTACCACAAGAGGGCAGAACAGCGCTGGCAAAAGGGCCAGTGAAAGGAAGAAGGGAAAAAATCCGGTCTGTCATTTTAAAGACTCGCAGATTTATTGCAGCATAAGCTTTTATGCACCATGCTCTACTTCAGATATATCTGATATTATGTGTGTGTGTGTGTGTGTGTAGGGGAGTGTGTGAAGGCTTGTTCACGTCATCTTGTTTTTTGCATGCATGCATGCATGCCTCAACCAATCTCTCTAAAATGGATGTGTGGCTTACTGTACCAAAGCCAAATCTTTAGCAGCATTAACTATTTCCTGCACCTCCACATGGTCCTTTGAACAAGGACCAAGAGTAGGGATGCCACCTATAAACTCGAGATTTTACTAGAGTTGTATGCAGGTGGGGCAAATGGTAACATGTGTGAGAAGATCATCATATAAATGCCACAACTTACAGACTTGCATCAGACACGGAGACACATGTACGTAAGATTGGCATTTGTGTGATGACATCAACACATCTTTGTCATTATTTGGCTATCATCTTGATGGGCTACAGACACTGCTGCACTTCACAGCTTCATTCTGGCCTCCAGTTCACTTATAGATGTAAACATGATAGTGATTGGGAAACTCCACTTCTTACACCCCTTCCTTGTGGGAAGGTCAGTGGATTCCTTCTCTCTGTTTCCTGTCCAGTTCATAAGAAAAGCCATCCTGTGGTGGTGATGTTTAAGAGCCCTTGATGAAGGACTTTGCCAAAAGCTTGTTGGAAGATCAAGTGCAAAAAGGTTTTCCATTGCAGCTGGGTTCTTGCCAGAAATCCTACTTATTTTATTTGTTTCCATGACTGGCATTCCCCCTTCCCAGTGGCTTTGGCAAGTACATCAGGAAACAATGAACTGATAATTTAAATAATATTTAATTTGGGATATTAACATTAAAAGTAGAATTAGAATAAGAGTGGATGGCTCCACATCACAAGCAATTCTGGATCCAAATGTTCTACAGAAAAGCTAGATCTTTAGGCTTTCCAGAATATTAAAATTGTGGGGGCCATCTGAATATTGGAGAGTAGCATGTTCCAGAGTAGTGTTTCTCAACCCTAGGAACTATAAAATGTGTGGACTTCAACTCCCTGGGGCTGGCTGGGGAATTGTGGTAGTTGAAGTCCACACATCTTAGAATTGTCAAGGTTGAGAAACCCTGCTCCAGAGGAATGTGTCATCCTGCTTTGGAGGTCCTGGCCCCTTAACTTTTCCAGAAGAGGAGCCCAAAGCAGGTCTTCTTGAGTTGACTGAACAGGATAGGTAGATTCTATTCAGAAGAGATGATCCTGCAGGTAGCCTGGATCCAAACAATTTAAGACTAATAGGTCTAGCTCCTAAATTGTATTCCAAAATCTATTTCCAGCCAGTTCAGCACTCACAGTGTAGCCATGAGACTGCTGGAGGGACTCTTACCAGTCAACACACATTCAGTACGAGGAAGTCTGCAGGCTGCAGTCAAAAAAGTCAAGATGGTGGCCCCAACAGTGCGATCCAAACTCCACCTGGTATGGATGTGGGTCATATGTGAGGGCTTACTTTTAAAGTGTAACAGGCTTTGTTTTTTAGCAAATTATCCAACTGGCACATGATTCCTGGTCAGGAGTCCTGGGACTATGATAGACTGTGACTGCATTCAGCGGACAGTTTGAACTCAAAACTTAAAGACAAAAAGAGAAAATATTACCTTCACTTAACATGTTACATCCCAGAACCAAAACAGCATCCTGATAGCTTGATTCACACAATATGCTAAGACAACGGCTGGGTTTCCCACAGCACTCTGGACTACACATATCCAACCTCAAGTTAGCCCAGTGAGATTGTTGCATGAACCCAGCCTGCCAGCTGTAACAGGGAGCCTCACCTGAAGCCAGTTTTCCCGCTTGCTTGAGTTTCGGAGAGAGGCTAAGGAGTCAAAAGCATCCAGATGTGGTGCTACAGCCTGCCTGGTGAAAGAAGCCAGTCGGCAAGGAAGAGAAGTCCAGCAGCACTCATTCAGAGATGCAACAAGCAGACTCCTCTGCAATCAGAAAGGCCCTTGCAGGTAGCCTTTGGTGATGTCATTCTTGCGCAGCTAGGTTCCCCCCCCCCGCCAAAGTACGAAGTTTTGGAATCTCTGGTCCTGCGACTGAAGGAACGGCTGATCTGAGGGAGGGTCCTGATGGAGAGCTAAGACTGGAGAGGAGAGAATGCATGACTCCTGGTTTGCTTTTTTCCCCCTCTTCCCCTGAGGGTCTGGCCTCTGACGTAATCCTCGTCCCCCCCAGCAGACAATAGACCTCATTCATCCTCCCCCTTCCCCCTCCCGTCCTCTCACCGATCTGTTCCCACATAAAGAAGCCCATTCAGCTTCTCAAAGGGCCCCTCCGCTCTGCTTCCTGTGGTTGGCGGACTCTCCTGTCAGTCAATTCCCCCCTCCAAAATGGGAGTGCGGGCCTGCCCTTTCAAGCCTCTCTTCTTGCAGTCAAGATTCCCCCTCAGAGCAGCATCGCGGCCACACCCTCTCCTCTCCGATTGGGCGGGGTGGGCGGAGTTACATCAGCCGGACTCCTCCCCCTAGCCAGTGGCAGCTCAGTTGCGGCTGGGCCTTGGAGGTGTCGGGATATCGCTCGGCGATCTGCTAAGGTACTGTAAAGCTTATTCGTTATTCCCCCCCCCTTTTTTTAATTTAAATTTTCCGTATGGTTCTCTTCTTTTGGTTTTTTTTTCTTGAATCTGGAGAGTCTGGCGAAGCGGCGAGGGGGGAGCCTCTGCGTCCGCAAAATCTGCCTTTACAGTACGAAAGATTAAATTGCTGATGGATTGTGCAGAGGTGTGTCCTTTTCAGTTAATTGGGGTGAGCTTAATTAAATCCTCAGAGGGCAGAAAAGGTGGCATTTAGCATTGCACTGGGTAGAGAAATCAGCACACATGATTTTCTGTTCCTTCTCGTAATTAAAAATCCACATTGCTTAAGATTTTCCCATCCACCTCGCCTGAAAATGTGATGAGCAAGAAAATACCGGCCAGCTTGTATTCAGTCACACTTCTACGATGCCTCCTCAGTGAAAGTGGGCACCTGCTTTCCTTTGCCCTCGTTTGTCTACAGAGTCGCCCAGCTTTTGTCCATCAATCTGTGCCTTTCATTCCCTTCCCTCTGTAGCTGTTCGTAGCTCTGCCACTTAAGTCTATTTCACTCTCCCTCTCAGTCAGCTTTCCCCAACCAGATACCCTTTAGATACGTGCATCTCATCATCCTTAGCTCTCCCAACCTGCTACCCTCCAGACGCTTCAGACTGCAGCTTCCATGTTAGCTGAAGATTATGGAGGAGGAACTCAGAGCATCTGGAGGATACATATTTGAGGAAGATTCATGGTGCCCTTCCTGGCTGCCAAATTTCTGCAGAGTCCTTTTTGAGAAAGCTTCTCCTTCCTCCATCCCTGACTAGATTTCCTTCTGAGCTTTGCTTTTTACAGATAGACATTCCTTTCTCTTCATTCAGTTGGTGACTGGTAGTATAAAAAATGCCACCACTGTGAAGGGGTGGGAATAACTGCTTGCCAGGGAAAACGTACCTTTATGAGGACAAGCATTTCTTCTTTATAAAGTTTTTTTTTTTTTTTTGCCCCCTGAGTGGGTCACTGTGTCTAATTCTGAAGCCTGATGAATGAGAAGAGATGTTGGCATAAAGTGAATTGGCATCTCTGAAGGGGACTTCATCTGGAGGTCTTTGGAAATGACAAAGGAGAACGGTATTACAGCTGCTGTTGTGTTATAGTATCCATATTGCAGGACCTACTGGCAAGAGGAGGCTTGGCCTGGCTGTGGACTCCCAAGTAGCTTAAGGCAGGCTTCCTGGTTTAAGGACTTTGTGCTGCTGTTCTTTGCAAAAAACCCAAAAACCTCGTGACATTGCATGCACTGTCTACATTTATATATCTCCACGTTCAGGCATGTAATAAGGAACCTATCCATGGACTAGTCACCCCATGGTAGCAAAGTGTGATGGGTGCACACATTATTTGGATTTCACAACAAAGCAGTTGGAATTTCTCTGTGTTGTGCTCAAAATAATATCAGCTATTCCAGGAATGTAGTAGTATTTTTCCAGAATGAGAAAGGGGAGCATTCTTAAATTGAGGTTTTGAGGTTTTCTGCATGTGTCTAACCTCTAATTTAAAGCATCTGGGGAAAAAATCTGAATTTAATTAAGCCAATTAGGTATTTTATTTGAATGTCCACCAAAATGAACAGATCAGATCCTGGAATGTTTAGCATTTGGAACTTGCTATGTCAACAGAATGGTGAATTCCAGAGGTGGGTAGCAATGTTGGTCTGTTACAGAGAAAGCAACAAAGAGTTCAGTGGCCCTTAAAGAGAAATACTTTATGTGGCATAGAGTTCTCTTATGAACTAGAGATGATTTCTACAAATGGAAGGACAAAAGAGTGGAAACTCTTGCACTCTGTGCTGTGTCTGAAAGGAAAAGGGATGAGAACAAATTGCAAAGGATTAAATTTGACAGTGATTGGATTTTTGAAGTTTGTGATCCTTGAGCACCCCCTCTCAAATGTACATTCATTAATCATAGAAATGATAAAGTGGAAAATGGTTAAAACAGTAATTTGATAGACTATTTTATGCCTAAAGCTTCATTTTCCTTTATGTTTGCTATTCCAATCAAGTTTATGTGCTATTTAAGAGACATTTGCAGGCTGTTTGATTCTATACATCTGAGGAACTGAATATTCTGTCTAGTGAAAATTTTGATTGGGAATGTATAAGATGTGTGCTTTTGATGTTTCTAAGGCTGGAGATGCTGGCAGACTTTTTATGGGGAAGGTGATAGAAACCAGCCACTTTAAGAAGACATATGCTGATTTAAGGTTTTTTGTCTGTGTGTTTGGTAATGGGCTAGAAGAGTGATTTTTCTTTTTCTAAAGTGGGTTCTAAATAACCTGGTTGAACGTGGCACTTGAGAAGAGAGCTAGCTGATTTTCCCATAGGCCCTGTTTATGCTGGACTTGAGCACCAAACGGTTACGTTGTAGGCAATTGATATTTATAGCAGCAACCGGCATGCAAGTGCCATGGAAGCAGCCTGCTCCCTGCCCTC